ACATCTATTGTTATTATGAATTATCAAAAGATATTATATTAGATAGATAGACACAATTTGTATTAAAATTTTAAAGAACCTTTTTTAAGATATTGAAGGTAGATATAGAAATATTTTTGATCTTTTATTCTTAATTTGAAGAAGTAGAATACATGAATGAAGTTCTGTAGGAGTGTTTGAGGTATGCTATTAGTTATCATTAAGATGATTGGACAATTCTTTTACTACTGGCAAAGCTTACATACAATAATTTGATATATTCTTCTACTCAACAAATACTTTCTTAGCCAATTATGGTTATTATTTATAATTTGATACTTTTGACTTTTCAAAAGTTGATAATCTTGCAACAAAAGATTTGATAAATTATTTGTTAGAGGTACATGTAATAATGAAGGCATATGTAAAAAAAAATCAAGAACAACAAAAAATCAACGTATATGCCTATTACAAAGAACAGCTACAATTCAATGTGAGTGACAAAATATAATTACTTTGACATAACATCAAGACTATTTATTCTTGTGACAAGTTAGATTATTATAAACTTGAACCTTTTCTTATTTATGAAGAAATCAATTCAATTGCTTATTAATTATACTTACTAGAATCAATAAAGATTCATCATGTATTCCACATGTCTCTTCTTAAATCATAAAAGATAGTGAATATATTGAAAAGAAGATAAATGCCACCTCTTCTTATAGAAGTAGGCAATAATGAAGAGTTTGAGGTGGAAGAAATCTTAGATTCAAGGCAACGCCAAAATAGGTTAAAATATTTTATTAATTGGCATAGATATAATATTAATGAAGACACATAAGAGCCAATAAAGAATCTTGTAAATGTACCAAAGATAATTGAGGCTCTTTATCAAAAATATCTATCAAAGTCAAGATAAAGAATAATAAGATTTATAAAAGATGATAATCTCTTTTTATAAAACTTGTTCTTAGAAGAGAGAATAATGTCTCAAACATATGTATTTACTCCAATAATTATCTATATGATTAGATAGAAATAAATAAAAATAAATTAATTTTATAATATCTTTTTAAAAAGCTTTCAAAAAGCTTCATAAATGTGATTTTAACTATACACATGCTTATAGTTAATTAATAGATTAGAAATTTGATTAATAAGTTAAGCATGTGTCATACTTAGTGATAGCTTATGGAATAAGTTAACTATATGGCCCACATATAAAAAACTTGCCTTATAAGTTAAGATATGTGTGTTACAAAGTCAACACGTGTTGGAGGTCCTATAGAATATTGCCATGTAGTTTCTAGTTGATAGTATATATAGAAGCAATAGTAAACTTTTTTTCACTCTTATCAATGCTTTTCTAATCCTTAGTCTTGTTTCAAGACTTTCTAGTCTTCTTATCTTTTGCAATAGCCATTCTAATTCAATATATTACCATCTTTGAATGATTTTCTAGTCTTTTCAAGTGACACAAGAGTATATTGATATATATATATATATATATATATAGAGAGAGAGAGAGAGAGAGAGAGAGAGATTTATGTCTTTAACAATATGTTGTTATTATAGTAGTAAAGAAAGATACAAATATCTTGTTTGACTTATTTTATAGATAAAAATATACATTCTTTCTTTTTAGGTTGTAAAGATAATATAATATCCATCCACCAATTTATTAGCAAAGTCTAAAAGAACAATTCTTATAAGTCAAAAAAAATAAAGAGTAGAAGATTAAGTTGAAGTAGGAATAGATAATAATAATAATAATAATAAAGAAGTGGATTATCCACTATCTCAATTTAAGACCAATGTGAGGACATGGAAAAATCCAATGTATCTCCTTCTTCTAAAAACATATATAAAATCAAATTTAGTAATTGAGACCATCTAAGTGGTAAAATATTTATGGTAGCACTTGACTTGTAAAGAAATCACACTCTTGAAAGTATAATATTTTGAGTTACAAGTTCCTTGAAAGAACTTAGAATTAACATATCCAAATTGTTATGGTACTGCAACCATAAATAAATAAATAAATAAATAAAACATCAAGGTTGCAAGAATGGCAAAATATAGTGACAAAAATCCATTCTCTTTTTAATCAAAGTCATATGTCTTGAGGTGGAGAAAAGAACTATAAAGTTGGACCTTATTTTTCCTTAGCTCAATAAAATAGATTACTGAAAGAATGAACACTGTTTTTCCTTTATGCATGTTAATCTCTCAATTTGCAACAATAAAAGAATCTTGCTTTTGCAAATATAAACAATGATTTTACAAATTATTTCTTTTAAATTTGGTTGAAGTTAAAAAAAAACTTCACCTAATAATTTTTAATATTAATAATATTTTTTCTTATTATAGCTTCTAAAAAAAACCACTTTTTAATAACTTTTGTATAAAATAACTCTTTGACAAAAAGAATAACATATCATATCTTCATAATAGTAAAATTTTAGCAACCACTATAGTGCAATAGTTAATAATTTTTTGATGTATTATTTTTATCCATAATCCAATATAATATCAATTATAACTATTAAAAAAAATCTTATCTAGTTGCATCCCTTGTCAAGTCAAACAACTCATTTGCCTCTATTTGCTGCAAGATTCAGCCATTCCGATGTACACATTATTGGGAATTTCTTGTTGTGTGTCATATCTATATTCAAGTGCCTCCATGTGAAGAAATATTGATGCATATATTGTCAACTTACATAACTATTGTAATTTATTTAAAACTTAAAATTAAATAAAACTTTTTGAATTTTCACAAAATGGTTAACCATACTTTTGTCTCTCTATCTCTACTATGTCCTCAAAATTGATTTGAAAATTAGTCATTAAAAATAAATAAATAAATAAAACCCCACAGTTGTACCACTCCTAATCCTAAAAACACAAAACCGTCTCTTAACGAGCATTGCGGAACTTCAACTGACAGTCGCCGTCCCTCTGTCTTCCCACTTCACAGGGGAAGATTGAGTGAAGGAAGTGTTCCAACCTTGGCAGTTTGTATTCTAATTGCAATCCTCAGTGCTCTCTTGCTCGACCGCCCACAGCCTCGCTTGCTGGGGCGGCCAAAGCCAAGCTGGTTGCGGCGCTAGGCTCCTCGTCACTGCGTTCAGTAAATGCGGAGCCCTCACGACCTGTCTATGACAGGAGCTTCACTATCCTGCAATATCATTTTATGTAATAACAATGAAAACGACAAAATAAGTTTCCAATAATGAGTGTGAAATTCTTTGCATGGAACAGTATTCGAAGATTGGTATTCCCAGCCGGGTGCTTTACACATGGCAGGACTCTGGCTACATCGATGTTTAGCAAACTCAATGATTCCTTTTTATACTACTATATTTAAGTGAACTGGGTTCATGATTGTGCCCGAAGATCTGTAAAGAAACAGTTTGCTCCAGAACTTTTGGAATTAAATTGCAGTGCAAATCTGAATTAATGAGCCATAAACCAAAGACGGATAAGTAAACTGAAGTTACAAGTTGCAATCACTTGAATGACAACCGAAAATGGAATGGTCATTTTTTGTGGTATTTGTCTCCTAACAGAGACGTTTTAATTGTTGGTATCAAAATTCACCCCCATGGTTTCCAAATATGTTATCGATGCGTGAAGTTTTGACTCGATTCTAATCAGAATTTGGTTTTACTATGAACAAAAATCAGACTTTCTATTGTCGTGCAATTTTGGTCTGCGCATCATCCTACTTGGATCGAGTCACGCTCTTTTGTGTGGGGGTCATAGTCTGAGGAGCTTGATGAGGAATTTTCTGCTGTAATGTTGACGCAGAGCTAGCCGCGCGGAAGATGCTTCACGCTTTGAAGCCAGCGCAAATGATGTAGAGGTCGGTCTCTGGATTGAGTAACCTGCATCCTCTGTTGCGGATCAGCTCCAGTTAGAGCACATTCTGATAATCTGCACGTTTAATGGGTGGCGCGCCATCACGATCCCCTCTTACGAATTGAGATGTACAATTACGAATCACAAGCTATGATGCGAAAGGACAAATCGGGTGCGTCCAATGTCTGTGACAACGAATCGACGACACCGACACATCCAGCCCTAGAAAATCCATGCCAAATCGGGCTCTCTGTATAATGCACCCTGACTCCAGGCGGAACACAGAATTGGCTTACACATGTTTGCTAGACTGTCCGAAGAACCGCTCTGTCCCGTGGGAGACTGGGTAATCGAATATCTTCGACCAGGTTTGGCGTCTCTTTGCTTCATCGTGTTTCGTTCTACAATGATTTGCTGCCTGCAATGTGATGATATTTCCCAAGGGCGTGCAAGCACTGCTGCCAACTATGTTGATGTGGTTCATCGGATCTTGCAGAAGTACCTTACCTCTCAAGATGGCGTCAAGCTCGAGACAGTCAAATGTGTGTATAAACTTCAACAATTTAAAAATGGTTTGTATGCTCGTGAATGTGAATGATTTGAGATTATTGTGTATTTAAGTTGGGAGGGTGTGGTTTGGTTAATTCAAGATGATAATTAAGGTACTATTTTTGGCCGATTCTGTAAACTCAGGCAAAATAAAACCATTTGAAAAAACACATAAATAAAGCTATTCGCATGCAAGCGTGTGGTGTTTCCATCACCTGCAGTCGATTTCATGTTGTTGAACTGATAGTGTGTGATAGTTAACACTATTGTGGACTAGCTCATGCGCTTAAACACATTTTCTTACAATATTTTCCAAGATTTCAAGTCTGGTTGTAAAAATCCTAAATGCTGAAAGGAATGGTTTTCATGAAAGACCTGAAAAATTCAAACCAACGTACATTGTATTTTAAATTATGGAGGAGTTCAACGGCAGTAGAATGCAAAGAAGCTGCCTCCGTCACATCTTACATGTGAGCTCTCTCACTTGCCAGTGAATGTTGAGGAATATTACAAGTAACAGTGAAAACGTTGATGTTCGATGCTGCCATATGTTCAATTCAGCTCATTTGGTGTGAGAACGACAGCACATTCATTTGCGATATCGATCCAATTTAAAGTGGAAGCTTCACATGAAGGTAGGTAAGAAAACCGTTCTCATGTGTGCCCGCTAATATTGATTTGGTAATATATAAATTTACACCAGCCAGGCAACTGGATCTATACTTCACGTTCAAGCACAAAGTTTGTGAGCCTCGCAGGAACGAAGTTCTCAATGCACATTAACATTCGAAAGCGTCATATGAGGAGAATTCTATTATAGTCACCTCATGACTCCTAAAATTCAATACGGTGTGCACGGAGTTGGTATGATGGTACCATTGTTCACTTTTGAAGCCAAAGTTGTAGTAGATAGGTCCCCATGCTACATGTACCAGAACGTGCAAGGAAGGTCGGCACAAATCGTACAATCCTAGTACGCCATCTGCACGTTGCTCTCGTAAAGCTTCCCTGGTTCAAAAAACTCAGGAATCGCTTTCTCGGCGATGACAGTATGACCGTTTAACTTGGACACAATCTTGACGTCGTAAGGGCCTTTGAATGGCTGGCCGGACGTGTTGATGAGCATCCAGCTGGCACCCCAGTTGTGCTTTGCTGGTTGGAAAGATGAGCTCCCCGTTGTACGAATTTCGACACTTTCAATATCGCCAGGCCCTCCCATATACTTCACCAGGAGCGACAACCAGAAAGCAGATGAGCCTGCGTCGACCTGGAAGGCAATATTCTGATTCGGGTACTCGCATGGCACTCTCTTGTACAGGATGTCGTATAACCCAATGTTGCGCAGTTCTCCGTCCTTACCCGAAACAGCCATGTCGCTGATAGCAGCGCCACTCAGGTCGAATGCAGGCTGAGATGTGCTGCAGTAAGTTCCTCCAGGACATTGGTCTGTGATGATAATCCGGGTTGGCTCGGACTTGCAAGATGGATAGTTGCACTTCACCTCGAAGCATGCGCCGCATCCGCTACCTCCTTGGAAAATTGGATCGTTTCCCGCTGCAATTTTGGGTCCATATGGTGTATCCGCAAGCTTTGTGTAGCCACAAGCGCCACCACTGGATCCTTCACCAAGAGGTTCCCCGTACCATGTGGCATGTCCGGCCATCCACTGTTCATTGTACCCGCTTAGAGCCAAGGTGCCGCAGAAAGCAACTGGGAGACCCAGTAGCTCTAGGAACAACAGCAGTACCGCACAGAACGCCAGTGTCGACATTTTCATCGCCTCGGTCCACTAAACAACCACAAGTATTTTAAGCTCTCTGACTACAGCAGTAAATTCAGCAGCAGAGGGAGCACAGCAGCAGCTAAATTCAGGTGCAGAATCACAATGTAGCCACACAATGTCCACTACGATCGTCCAACTGTGGAGATCAAGGGACTGTATGACCTCATTTATACGCATCGTGGGACCTTGGTTTCTTCTTCAAGGACGCTGCAGACTGGTTACGGTGCCTAGGAATAGTTAGAGCAGTTACCACCGAGAGGATCGCCAAGGAGGTCGTTAGTTGAGTCCGTAAATCAAGCGGGGAGGTGGTCATGGTGGACAACAACCGGAACGACCTGAATTTTCTTCGACACAGAACGATAGCGAAGTAGACAAGCCCCGCGACTGGGGGGAGGGGGGGATTATTCCATCCGGGGATGACGACGAGCTCGATCAATTAGGGGACGCGCCGCCTGTCCAGTCCACCGCACGCTGGATTCTAGGCGAGACTGGCGGTGGTTTTCCTCTAGTCCGGGATGATTTTTCTCCAACCGTCAACAACATGATGCTCTGAGAAGTAGACAAGCAAGCAGGTTGATCATTGGGTAATGCGGCGACGGCGATGGCGATGGAACACTTCCGAGAATCCTTCTCCATCTCCTCCGCGATGAATGTCGAGCACCCCCCCCCCCCCCCCCCATCCCCTCCTCCTCTCCCCCTCGAGATGCATAATACAATGAATTAATTAATAGAACGAATGAATGAATGCTTCGGTGCTTCTAGAATTGCGGTGATCACCCCCGACTCCCTTCTTCTTCGGCCTCCGCCCCCCATTCCACAACTTCGCACTTCTGTACACGAAAGCAATGTGAGAGTTTTTATATATATATATATACTTTTCTGATATGCACCAAAGAAATCAAAAGGAATGTGTATGTTTATATTGTTATTGTTTTCTTTTTCCTTTTTGCAGTGTGAACTCTATCTTATTTGCATTTGCATTATCTATAATATTTTGATTTTGTGATTGTGATTACTGTAATTGTATGACATTATATGTAATTATTTAGCCTATTTATTTTATTAGTTGATGTGGTTTCAAAAAATGAATGATTCAAAATGACTATTTTTAATTATAATTTTGAAGATTTCTTAGTCCCACTAAGCCAATTTGTTTTTAAAAAATAGATTGAGGAATCATTAATTTTGTAAAAATGATTAATTGATTAAAAAATAAAATAAAATAAAATTATAGAAATTAATGATGATATATTCTTCAGTACTATAAATATATTTTTATTATTAATATTTGATGATTAAGTTATTTTGTGAAGTTTTTTGAATTATTTCTCTTTTTTTATTTGACAAATATTTTAGTTGATTCTAAAACTTTTAAGGACCTTGAACAAATTATATACAAATCTCACCAATGCAACCAAAATGGTTAATTGCATCATATAGTATGAATTTTGATCTTAAAAGTAAAGAAAGTTTTTTGTTGCCATGTTTACATCTTTTCAAGGAACTAGAGGATTTTTTAAAATTTAACAAACCATGTCATCTGTTAAGTATTAATAACAAGTTTGAATCAATCTTAGAAAGAAATTAGTGCAATCTCAATTGAATTTAATTAATTTTTAAATTCTTTTGCATTTAATAGGTGAATTTAGCATAACCATTAGCCAATTAAATGTAGATGAATAATCTTATATTGACTGAAGTTGCTTTGACATTATTAGTATTATGAGACTAAAATTTTAAAATGATTTTGATATATTCACATATACAAATAGTATTTTAAGAAGATTATGGTTTAAAAAGAATAAGCACTATGTTCAAGAATCAAATGTGATTGTTTTCAATGGTTAAGAATGTGACACATTTAATCACAAAAAAGTAATGGGGTAAACAAAAGTTTTTGCAATGAATTAATTCATCAAAATTTAAATCATTTTACTCTAAATTTCAAATTTACTGTATTATCCACCATTGTATAAAAAAAAGGAAATGAAATAAATTAAGATTACAAAGAACGGAGAAAAGTCAAAAAATATGCTTATTTTTTTCCGGAAACACTGAAGAAATTATTTCTAATTTCAGTATGAAGTACTACTTTATTTCACAGATGTTTGTGTACCTGACTAAAAATATTTATATAGATAGCTGAAGCTGATAATATCATTTAAAGTTATCTACAAAATAGTCCTTTAAAGTGGCAACTTCATGACTTTCCCATACTCTCGTACCAGTATCTATTAATCAAGGATTGTAAACAATGAAGAGTATTCGTAAGCAATGAAAAACGGATACAAACAAACAAATACGGTAAATCGTTTCACCGACAACGAGCCTTGTGAATTAAAACTCATTGTTTTAAGATTGAAACAACTCGTGACAATCATATTCTGGCTACGTTACCAGCGAGAAGTTGAACTGTCATAAAGCTGAGGCATGTGTTTTGTTTGCGAGTTGGAAATGCTCAGTAATACAAAATGTTAGAAGAAAACAATTCAGTGATTAGTGCAAACTACCCACATATCAAAGTACTGCCGATAACCAGAAAAGACGTTTTAGAGCACAGTAATTTTATTGAAACTCTGAACCTGAGACAGTGCTAAGATCTACACCTTCAACCAGCGATAACATTACATGGACAACCTTTGGTCATGATACGTTCCACCGTGCACAGGCAGACGTATTACATCAGAAATTTGTGGAAGCTTCTTCTTGTACACCCACCAGGAGCCGGATATAGCTCTGTTACGCATGCTCTACGGAGTGGAGCCTCTCGCACATACAAAATCGCGCTATCGACGTTGTTGTTGGAGACTCTGAACCTGGTATGCGAAGAGACTTCTATCACTGGCACCCTGGATCTTACCAGTCCAACCGGTTCTCAGTACATACCTACTCCAGCACTAGCTACGAACATTCAGTCACAAAAACTGCTTGAATGGAAAAAAGCAAACTGTTACAATCCCCCTCCTCCTCCTCCTCCGGGTTTCTGATCCGGCACTGTAAGTTCGGGGATGTCATCGAACCTCCGCCAGTGTTCAGGTCTTGCGGAGCTGTCAGTGCCATCGGAGATGGTGTCTCTGGCAATCCTAGAACCCAATCTGCACATTGCTCTCGTATTCCTGACCGGGTGCAAAACCAGCTGGAATAACGTCCTTGGCAACAACGGTGTGGCCGTTCAGCATGCAGTTGATTTTCACGGAGTAGGGACCCTGGAATGGTGCTCCGGAGTAGTTGATGAGCATCCAATTGGCTCCCCAGCTGTGTTGAGCCGGGATGAAAGAGCCATCACGCTGACTGATTGAAACGCTTTCAATGTCACCTGGGCCTCCCATGTACTTCACGGTGAATGAGAGCCAGAAAGGGCTAGAGCCAGCGTCTACTTTGAAGACAATGTTCTGGCCCGGGTACTCGCACGGCACCCTCTTGTACTGAATGTCGTATAAGCCAATGTTCCGTAAGGCTCCGTCTTGACCATCCTTCGCCATGGCGCTGATGGCTGCGCCGCTCAGGTCAAAGGCGGGGTTGCCACCACTGCAGAACTGGCCTCCTGGGCACAAGTCTGTGATGACAATCCTCGTCCCCTCAGGTCTGCACACTGGATAATTGCACTTCACCTCGTAGCATTGGCCGCAACCCTTGCCTTTTTGGAAGATGGCTTCGTTTCCGGCAGCAATCTTGTTGCCAATGGGCGTTCCAGTGAGCTGGAGGTAGCCACATGCTCCTCCTGCACAAAGGGTTACAACACCCACATGAGTCTAGACTGGCCATGATGAATCTCACATTGTCAGCAACATGGTAATCTTAGCAACGTGGCTTGGTTTAATCCACAGTTTTGTGGAAGAGTTGAGAATGAACTAGATGCACTTACCGCTGGATCCTTCGCCATAGGGATCGCCGTACCATGTAGCGTGTCCAGGGACCCAGTTCTCGTTGTATCCATTTGCAGCCATGCTGGAGCTTGCCAATCCCATGGCTGCCGGCAATCCCACCAGACCCACCAGTAGCAACACAACTTGGATAGCTGCCATTGTGGACTTAACAGTGTCTGATCGAACGCTGATCGAGCAGCTCCTGACTGCTGCCAGGATGGAAAAGACTGGCTAGTTTAGAAACTGCATGAACGATGGAGCCACAATGAGGAAGCTCGAGCGATTGGATTACAAAGAGATTGCTCTAGTGAGGAAGCCCCGATTAAACTTGAAAATCCTGTCGTTCGGAGTGGATTTATATATGAATTGGGAGGCGATGTTTGACGATCACAGTGGACCCCGCCGCCACTGTAGGTGACGCCGAGCAGGTCGTTACGTTGATTCAGTAAAACGCAGGAAACGCCCAAAGATGATAGCTGCGACGAAATGTTTCACAAAGTCAACCCTTCTGACCTAGCTTGGGGTCAACTCCCGTTATGACAATTTCGTTTTCTTCCTCGTTGAAAAACATCAGAAGAAGGAGAAGAAGATGCACATGAGTGCTAGTAGTTTTCTAGGTCTCTCACAGAACGAGGATGAGCCATCTTCTACAGCCACCTTCTTCCTATCAATAATGTTTTGGGTGCTGACAAAGATTTTATGCTCTTTTTTCTCTCCAAGACTGTTCTACCCAGTGTCTTGAACCGAGTTACCCGCGGCAACAGAAATTTGTTCAATGAATTTGAGATAGTATCAGTTTGAGTTGTGCATCTTCGGGCTTACATTTGAAATAATTCTTCTGTCGTGGTTGAAATAATCAATCATAAACATGATACATGTGAGATAAAATATTTATTTATACATTTATTTATTCTCATCAAATATATTCCAAAAAATTAAACGTAATAAGAAACCTCAAGCACTCAGTTATTTACAACTCAAAGAAGCACTCAAATTATGTCAGCTAGATCCTTCCACAAGCAGAAGGTAGTTTCATGGGTACTATTAGTGGAGTTCACCGCATAGATAAGGACAAGCCATCATGAAGAGTTACCCTTTGTGTGTGTGTTGTATGATGCAGAACCACAATCCGTGAGGTTTCCTACGCAAATTTGTAGACCATGCCATCACGAAATTTAAGTTATTGGGGGTTTTGATCACCACACGAATGGTAACCACAGGTGCAATCAAGCCCATTCTGTGCCTGCAACATGCTGATGCAGTGCCGATCAATTGAAGTGGAACATCGTCATAGCGAAAATTTGTAAGTATAATATGTTTAGATCAACTTCCTTAGAGATGACCCGCGATTGTAACTATGCTTTCTCACTGTTTGTAAGAGGCGAAACAGATGCTGTTATTGTAAGAAACGAAATAGTACCTGGAATCACGACCCTGACTTTATTATCTGGTTACCGTGCCGGCGTTCAAATTGCAAGCGTGGATCCGTTCGGCGATCTCGTGCGCAACCCACGAGGGTGCTCGTTGACAGAGCCCAACTTCCCTGGTCACCACTGAAATCCTGCGGAGGGGTTTAGCTGGAAAGGATATTGAAGCAGCCCACGAAAAAGCTGCAGTGGCAACAAGGCGCGGAGAATGCTGTTCACTAGTCAGGACCTTTCTAGAACAGAGTTAGCTTAATTTGGTGTCTGAACGAGGATTTAGGACATTAAACCCAGCTGAGAGAAATTGTCTCTCGAAGTGGTAAGGCCGACAAGACGCATTTTAGATACTGCGGTGCAATGCAATATCTCAATAATGCAATATTATATGAACTCGTTCCTGAGCGACCGACAAAAAGCCGTTAATTCAGCCATGACTTCAGACCCTGAGATCATTATCTTAAGCCGGGGGGTGAAACCTGATCAAACTAACCACAATCAACACGTGGGACCCTCACTGTATCACCTCATGGACTAATCCCAACTTTCGTTCTGCGGCAAGCTCTCGTGCAACGGGTGCACAAAAACAGTAGTGGAAGGTTTCTAACCGAAAGCAGAAAAAGTAAAAATGCAAAAAAGAACTCTTTCGATGGGATGAGACAGGATCCACAAGGTCGGCACAGTTGCACCAATCAATCAGCACAGGGCTAATTCCTATTAGTGAAAAAGTTAATGCAACAGGCACTCCTAACGGAACAGGACCGGGGGGATTGGAGTTGTGGGAGAAGGCGATGCCCGTAATCACTCTGGATATGTCCGGTGAACCTTAGAGAGCGGAAAGTTTTCAGAGTGATTTCAGCAAATCGGAGAGTGATTTCAGGGGACGTGTCTTTTTCCCCGTAGTGGACGGCGCCTTCCTGACACCATGGAGGGCTCGTTCCACAGGTGGACTCCGCTCTCTCTCGCATGGCGGCAGAGTTGCCAAATCCAGCGATGTCTGCTTCTACTTTCGTGCTTGCAAGAGGGCACGCTCACTATTTATGGACTGAGATGCACTCCTCAAACAGAGCTCTCGTTGTCGACACACTTGCAAACAAGCAGCAACTCTACACGCCCATCGCTTCCTTCACGTCGAAGTCTGTGCCTGGAACTGAAAGTGCGCACACCGCCGGTTTGCTCACTGAACAGAGCCTCCAGTCCTGAGCTTCACACTCTCACAGCTCCATTCTACGACTCATCTCAGCACGCTTTGCATGACTTTGAACTGCAGTTTCGACATCGAACATGAGCATTTCCATCAGTGAAGTCTCACGCTGCACCCAACTCTGGTTCTTCCTCGATGACCCACAGCCTGCTGCGACTTGTTAGGGGACTTGATTAGCTAGCAAAACCCCTGAAACAACTTCCCCTCCCTCAAAGCGGCAAGTGGGCCTGCTAGACAACATTGGTTGACGTGGAGACTCGTCAATTCTCATGTCGAAACAATTCCTTGTCATCCGAAGAATAGTTCTAGAGAGTGAGTCCATTGAACAGACACATGCTCCGCGATTGAATTAGTTTCTTCGGAAGCACGTTTGGCGAAGCCCAGGATGCCATGAAATGCACAGAAAGGTGTATTATTTGGAGAATGATCATGTAACTTGCTTGATTGCTTTCTAAGATTGGAACTTGATTCTATAATTGAACTTTTTGGCTTCTTTTCTTGCTTTGCTACGCTTTGATGAAGAGGAATAAAAATATTTTGTGGACTGTTGTAGAAGTTGAATTGAAACTGTAGGATGGTTTTTTGGTTTGAAGTTTTGTGAGGTACAAAGGTGTAAGATGTGGAATATAAGATGTAATATAAGATGTAAGATATAATATATATACGGAATTAGAAACACTGTATTGCTTTATGTTGTCTTCTGTGTTTTTTTGCCTTTTTCTTTTATAGTTTGAGCACAAAGAAATTATAAAATGATGTTGGAAGAAAAGCATGATCAAAACATTTTTATGATGTGGCTTCTCTTCTGTTCTTTTCATTTCTTTTCTAGCCTTCTCTGCTCTGTGATTTGGATTGTTTATATATGAAAAAAAAATTGGAGTGCAGAAGACTTGAGTCTATGCAAAAACATGGTTAACAGGAATGTCTTATTGAACTATATATATATATATATATATATATACATACATTTGGTTTGCTAGTTAAAATTTTATGAAGTGTAATGTGAGAATATTTAAGATGTCCTGTAAAATAAAAGTTGTTGTGAATGACCACACATCAATCGAAGTTCTTGTGAATGTGATGCAAAATACCAAAGTTAGTGAAGATGAAAGACTACTTGTGAAGGCAATTCATTTGATTATAGGTGGTGTTCCAACAAAACATTGCAAATACATTTGTATTATGTTGGATCTGTGAAGGTGATGATATAAGTGTTGGGGTTACGTGAAGTTGTATGACTTTTCCTGTGAAAATCTTTCTGAATAAAATCAACAGACAGAAAAAAATTATCAGAAGGCAAAACATTACCAAAGTAATTAGTTCAATTAAGATTTGGGATATAGCACAAAATAAAATTTATTTGAATACAAGCATGTTTTTGTAGGTTGTTGAGAGCTTTAAAATGCTTTTTTTTTTTTTTTTTTTTTGTTTTTGTTGTGGTTCTAGATTGTAATACAATATTCATCATTAAATACATGACTTAACAACTTTGTAAATGGAGCACAATAAATATTTTGTAATGGTCATTAACTAGATCGTGGTCATGTAAGATTTTGAAATTTTATATTGTAAAAGAGTAGGTCTTCTTCATTTAGCTGTAAACTCAGTTTTAGGTGATGTACTTTCAGATAACAAAATAAAGAATTTGAAAACATCATGTGAATTCTATGCCAGTCAATCCTGGAAATTATTTTTAATTGAACATTTCATTTCTTAATTAGTTATTTAATTTTTGATGTTGTTATGATTTCATCAATAGTTTTCTAAAAAAATGGTTTATAAAAAAAAAAATCTAAAAAATACAATATATATGTTGATGAAATTTTTTGTATACCGTGCATGTCTTTTAACTTGAAATACCACTATCAATCGAACTGTGTTGATTTGAAAAAATAAATGTATGTGTATAAATTTAAAAAATAAAATATAATAAAATAAAATATCAAAAAATCCAATATAATAAACTTCTTATTTGACTAATCAATGGTGCTTAAAATCCTTATAATTAATTTTTTTAATAATATTGTAGCTTTACTTTTAAATTTAAAACAGTATTTATATTATTGAAATAGAAATTTCAACCTTTGAAAGGGCAGAAAGAAATAATATAAATTATAAAATTCCAAACTACATTATATTTTCATATGTTTTTGAATGTAAAACAAATTGTAATAAAAAAACATATTAAATCTAATTAATTCTCCTTTAGAATATGAAAGAACAACACTCATAAAAACTAACCACAATATTTGATTTTTAAATATTGACAAACATAAAGAATTTGAGTTTCAAAAATTATCCAATATGATGTAAGGTTAGAAAAACTGTGTTGAAATTTTCAACATACTTGTGCAATAATGAAATTGACATGCACGTGAAAAGTTCAACATCAATTTATTCTTAATGCACTTTGAAAGATGCATTAACTGTTACCTGCTCAACATTTATTCAACAGCACTTATTCTTAATGCACCATGGATGTGTGTCACCTGCGGTCAAGACTTGGCTTGGATTAATAAATGAATTAATGAATGAATGACATGCTTTTTATCAAGCACAATATAAGATGCAATCAAACCATGACATGAAGTGTAATTATTTGGAATTATTGTTTTTTTTTTAATCAAATTCTTGCTATTTGGTGATATTGATTTTAAAACATCATCTATGAGTGAAGGAAGGCATGAGCCATAATTTCTTCTAAA